TGTCCGACTTAGCTGTAGAGGTCAGAACACAATAATCACTGATCTGACATATATTTAACCTGCACTGATTGGGTTCACACCAGCTGCGATGAAATGCAGATGGGAATCTCGCTGCAATGTAGACAAACTTCCTCAGCTACCAACTTCAGCATGGATTGGATTCTGCTCCTTTGACCTTTCTTCTCCTTGACATTCTGCAAGAGCAGCATTTTTGTGGTATTTGGTTAGAAAATGCTGGAAGGGCAGTAAATCTCACTCTCATTTTGAAGGTGGTATAATTCTTGAGTGAAATACATGTTTGAAAAGTATGTGTGTTACTGTCTTTAAAACTGAGATACTGCGAGGCATCTCTCTGAGCCAGTGCTAGAATCGGTTGTTAAATGCATTTAACTGAAAAATAACTTGGCTTCCAAGTCAATATTCTCCTCTGCTTGTGCTTTTTATTTATCAAAGCATTTAAGAAATCTTCAGGGGTTTTTATATATGGGCTGAGTAAGGCTGTTCGCATCTGAGCAGGTCCTTAAACGCTTTGCTAAAGCAGGGCTGCTGAGTGTGTTGCTTCTGTAACTTGTTAGCTTCTGGCTACCCAAACAGCTCCTTTAAAGTCTGAATTTGTTAACCGAGAGTTTTGTGTTGTCCAACGTCCTTCCCTGTTCACTTGCTCAAAGCTGAGTGAAATGTGTGTCTTGTTGATGGCAGCTTAAGGTAATAAAAGAGCAGCTTTTAGGTACCCACGGATGGGCCAAACTGATTACTGGGGCATTAAAAAAACTTAGCATTTCTATTCTTTTAAATGCTGTGAAAAGTTTTATTGTTGATTTGGTGCACTGCACTGATTTCTAAACGTGTTCCTGGGCATGCAGTAGGAAAAACTGATGAAATGACAAAAAGTCTTGCTACTTAGCTGTTGCTTTTGAAACAAATGCATTTAACTACAAAGCAAATGTAAGCTTATTGAGTAAGGAATCATCATAATTTTTTTACAAAGTATTTTAAAGAACTATTTTAAGTATACTTAAGAATAAAGGTAGAATTGAGCAGAAGTTTAACTTCTTTGTACTTAATTTAGTTTGTTTTTTTAAAAAAATAAGCTGCTGTTACAAATGGACAGAATACAAGAGTGTTGGATTTGCATTTCTTTAACTCTACATGAAATTCACACACTGGACTCCAAAAGATATCTTAAAAAGCTCTTTATTTAAGGTAGGATATGTTGGCTTTTTGTTTGCAAAGGAAGAAGATGGAAATATGTTCCTTATCTGCAAAACCTTACTGTTAATATTTAGAAGGGAAATAAAGCAGTTTGCCGTAACACAGGATAAACAATGTAGTTAGAGACTACATAAACAGGCTGAACAAAACCCCCTGAAACTGAGCAGCATCACGCTCCAGAGTGCCTTACCACAAAGTATATTTAGCGACCTCTGGACTTTGAGAGGACTGATGCCATGAAAAGCCACAATCAGGACTCAGTAGTCTTGGTAACTATTAAGCAGGTCTTTATTGCAGCGCTGGAGGCACAGGGGATCGCTCCTCCTGCCGCGTGTGCCGTAGGGTCAGATGCATCGCTTGTATGGAGGTTCTACGTACATCTGCGTGGTATTTCCAAGGAATGATTGACATACGTCACACCCACTCCTGCATGTGCATTACCTCTTGGTGAACTTGAGAGATATCTGGTGGTCCTTTACTTTGTCCTCCTCTTCATCGCCGTGTTCTGGTGAGCTATGGCCTGTAGTCCCGCGTTCTTGCTGACAAGCAAGGTCTGCTGGCTTGAGGCACCCTGTGCCTGTTTATCTCGTAGTAGCCTTGCGCTCCGTCCTCGGAGATCAAGTCCCATCACAATGTGCGTGTGGATCATCTCACAATGCAACTGTTACGTGGTTCATTGCTGCTGCTTGTTTTAAAAGACTTTTAGCTGGGAAATTTCCATCAGGCTCTTGCTTCAGAACTATGAAAAGACAGTAAGCAAAACTAGGTATAAAAACCTCGATGAAATCTTTAGGAAAGTGATGGTTTCCTTTCGGGCTGGAGGGACAAGCCAAGGCTCTGCTCTCCAGTCCCAAATTTCTGGCCGGGGGCTCTCCCCAGGGACTCGGGCTGGTGGCTCGGTGGCGGCCTCCCGACAAAAAAAAAGCGCGGCAGGAGCTGGGGAGGGATGCGGGGCCGGGCCAGGAGCTGTGAATCCTCCATCCCTGGCTCATCGGGAGCGGTGCAGATCATACACCGGTGAGAGGGAGCTTCTGTACCTTGCCTGCAAACACATTCACAAGCAGAATTTACAACCTTCAGTCTGTTTTGTATCTTGTGGGGTTGTTTTTGGTTTTGTTGTTTTGTTTTTTTATTTTCCCCTCCCTCATTTGCTTCAAGAAAAACAGATTAATGGAGAAGGATGTTCAGTGCAAACAGGTTGCTCGGTTTTGCTTTAACATTCAGGGGATTTGCAGCGTGTTTACCATACGAGTGTACGTGGGCCTCAATATGTTAAATGTTGGGGGTTTTTATACACTCTGTTCTCTTAAGTACAAAGTGTTTACATGGCTTTCACAAGTATATTAAGTTTTGTTAGAATTGGCCCAAAGAATAAATTTTCCATTTTATTATGCCCCCAGACAGAGCAGTCGTCAGAGCTTAACTCTGCTCTCTGCTTGCTGTGGCAGTAAATAGTAAAGGCTTTCTTTTAAAGATGAGTCTGTAAACTGCAGCGTTAGCATTACAATGATTTATGTAGAAAATTGCTTTAGCACTGTCAGAGGCCTTCAGAGAATAATATGGCAGCCTTTCATATTGAAAAGAAAAACTCAAACACAACCAAACCACAACACCCCCCCCCCCCCAAAAAAAAAAAGGAGAAAAATCCAAGAAACAGACCCAGCCAGCTGTGTCTCTGAAACCCGGTGATCAGAAAGCTGGGTCTCCCTGCTGGGTGGCTCCCAGGTCTGGCAGAAACATGAGTGTGTCCCTCCCAGAGGCCGTGAGGTTTGGGAGCAAATGGTGTGGGGGCTTTTCTCATCTGCTCAGACTTTGTATTCTTCTGGGACAGCCTCCCATTTCTCCAAAAGGTCTTAGAATGACATTCAAAGGTTTTGGATAGCCAAGGTTTTTTTTATCTAAAGGTGTTGTGATTTACAGAGGTGGGGAGAGAAACAACTTGGGTTTTGGCTGTTGCAACCTTACTTAACTCATCGGTTGTATCTTGAGACAGTTTTCAAAAGCTGGATCTTTCCTTTGAGGTTCTTTTTTTATTTATTTGTTATTGCTTGCTTATTATTCCTTTGCCTCTGAGTAATGAACAAGATAGGAAGAGGTTTCTCTTGGCTTTCAAATGGTACAATTAAGTCAGTTTCAAGATTGTATTTTTGTTTGTGTTGACCCTTTCATTAATGTAACCTTAAATCCTTTTTTTCAAAGGTGAACTTGAAAGAAAACCCATCTGTTAGGACCATGTTTTACATCTATTCACTGAATTTATTTTTTTTTGTTCCCCTTTTTACTTTGGACTACAATTACTTGTCCGTATAAATTGTTAGATCTAGGCATTAACAAGGTGCCTTTAGTTCTGTGCCCACCGTAACAAGCCCCCTTTTTCTTTTATATAAATTTTTTTTTATGCCCTGGCTGGCTAGGATTAGATGAGCCATTTTATTAAGTTTGTG